ATGAGTTTGTGTGCTTTGTAGGAACATGGATGCAGCTGGAAACCATCATTCTTAGCAAACTATCACAAGAACAGAAAACCAAACACCGCATGTTCTCACTCATAGGTGGGAACTGAACAATGAGATCACTTGGACTCAGGAAGGGGAACATCACACACCGGGGCCTATCATGGGGAGGGGGGCGGGGGTAGGGATTGCATTGGGAGTTATACCTGATGTAAATGACGAGTTGATGGGTGCAGCACACCAACATGGCACAAGTATACATATGTAACAAACCTGCACGTTATGCACATGTACCCTACAACTTAAAGTATAAAAAAAAAAAAAAAAAGAAATCTAATTACAATAATTCAAACTGTGAAATATTGAAATGCACATGATAGATAATTTCAATAATGTCCTATAGTAAGTCTGTGGTGTACAGGAACAAAACCCTGGTCTTCTGCTTTTCCAATATTCCAGGCTGCCTCGGTTCAAATTCTCTTGAAAATTTAGATAAAATTGCAAGGTTGACTTTGGGTTATGAGTATTACCCTTGGCAGGCTGCTTCAATTATCATATAAATGTATGTTAATTATCATATTCCTCATACTTCAAATGAACTTATACAGGAACTATAGTTATAGCTACTAGATTCTAGACTCTGGGAATTAGGTGATTCAAACTGACTCTTTCTTTCTTGTAATTCCAGAGGAGCATATCATAAAAGAGGAACGGTATTTCCCACCACAGTCCCAGCTGGTATTTCTGATTGACCCATGATTTCACAGCTGCAAATCAGCCCCCACCCAATAACACTTGTCTCTGGCAATGATCCTTTCCTTAATTAGAACATGACTTAGACTTTAGTCCTAACTTATCTGTTGCCTTGGCCCTGGGCTACCTGAGTACAGGCTGGTTTAGTTGGAAAAGAAAACCTACTTGAACATAGGTCTGTTTATCCTAACATTGAACAAAGGGTAGAGCCATTTGTCTGGTTGCTGAATTTACTTTATTTAGCAACTGAATTTATTTTCTTTGATAACTTCTCTCTCTTACAGTCTAGTCTTGTCAAGGCTTTGTACTTTTGGTGTCATTTTTATAGTTCTTATTCCTTCCTCAACTTGGGTATGGCCTCTAGAAAAAACCATTAGGTCTTGTCCAAGCCTGTATGTGACAGCATGTGGGGTGTGATGTGAGGAGCAGGTAAGGCTTTCCTCTAAGGCAGCAGGTAGGTTAAACCTAATATTGCCCTTTCCTCCTTTTTTTAAAAAACCTTGAATTTCCAGGGTCCCCGTCACTTCTCTGAGTGGCTAAGTCATACAGATGAGAGCTTTCCTCTAGAAGTCTATGTCAAAATACATGTATATTAGAGAGGAGGGTATATTTAAAGAAATTTGTGATTTCTGGCATTCTTTCTGCTCACCTTACACTTTGATACATTCTCTTGGAAAGGCACCAATAGAAGGTAAATAGAAGATACACAGAAAATGAGGATAAGGTCAAATGACAGGAAAAGTAAATATTTTATTTTTCAAATAAAACACTATGCATCTACAATGTACATGGTAGTATACTAGATAGTTGGGGAAGATATAAAAGTGGTACAAAATCTGCTTCCATGAATTTGGGAGATAATCTGTGAGCCAGTATCTACATGTGAATCTATATGTTTTACATATAGATTTGTGAAAAAGGTAACAGTGCCATCTGGTACATGTAAAAGTGCTGAAAACAGATAGTATTTGCTACAGAGTCCTCTCAGAGAGGACATGGTATTAGAGCTGTATATTTAAGAAGCAGGAACCTCAGATTTACTATGATCACAGGTGGCTTGGAATTGGACTGTGCATAGTGTTTGGTAGGTAAAAGAAAGAAACAAATGAGGCTAAAATGAAAGATTTACTTTGAGCAACTGAAGATAGGAGTTGAGACTGTATCTCATGGGCTCTAGGTAGCCATCTTCTATGGTCTGAATGGTTTTGTCCCTGTCTCAAAAATTCATATTGAAACTTAACCCCCATGCAACAGTGTTGGAAAGCATGGCCTTTGGGAGGTGACTGAGTTTTAAGAGCACTGCCTGAATGAATGGGATTAGGTGCCCTTATAAGAGGGCTTGGCAAAGGGAATTTTTACTCTTGCCCCTTCACCTTCTGCTATGAGGACAGAGCTTTACTCTTCTCCAGAGGAAGAGGTGTTCAATGTGCTATCTTAGAAGCACAGATGGGACCTTTAACAGACAACCAAATCTGCCCATGCCTTGATCTTGAACTTCCCAGCCTCCAGAATTGTGAGAAAATAAATTTTTCTTCTTTATAATTTTAATTTCTTGTAATGTATAATTACTCAGTTTGTAATATTTTGTTATAGCAGCATACACAGACTGGGACAGTTAATATTGAGTGTCAACTTGATTGACTTGAAGGATGTCAAGTAATGATCATAGGCATGTCTGTGGGGGTGTCGCTAAAGGAGAATAACATTTGAGTCAGTGGGCTGGGAAAGGCAGACCCACCCTTAATCTAAGTGGGCACCATCTAATCAGCTGCCATTGCAGTTAGGATATAAAGCAGGCAGAAAAACGTAAAAAGGCTAGACTGGCCTAGCCTCCCAGCCTACATCTTTCTCCCATGTTGGATGCTTCCTGCCCTTGAACATCAGACTCCAAGTTCTTCAGTTTTGGAACTCAGACTAGCTCTCCTTGCTCCTCAGCTTGCAGATGGCCTATTGTGGGACCTTGTGATCGTGTGAGTTAATACTTAATAAACTCCGTTTTATATGTATCTGCCCTATTAATTCTGTCCCTCTAGAGAACCCTGACTAATACACATACTAAGACACCATCCCATCGAGATGTCTGAATACAAAAATAACAAGATAAAATGAGTGTCTTAGGAAGAATTGTGTTGATAGTGGATTTGAGATAGCAGACAGTGCAGGAGAAAGGACTGGTTAGGCAACAGCAGAAATCCAAATTTGTTTAAGACAATAATGTTTAAAATAAACTTCAGCCACATTAAATTTAAAGGAGTTTGAGCAACGAACAATTCACGAATCAGGCAGCCTCCTGAGCCAGAGGAGGCTCTGAGACTCCAGCACAGCCACATGGTGGAAGATGATTTACGGACAGAAGAAGGAAAGTGACGTACAGAAAATGGAACTGAGGTATAGAAATAGCTGGATTGGTTACAGGTTAGGGTTTGTCTTATTTGAACGAGGTTCAAACAACTGGCTACATTTGATTGGCCAAACTCAGTGATTGACAGAAGTGTGGGCTATGGTCTGTTTACTCCTCCACTTATTATAGTTCACGGTGTACACAGAAACCTTTAGGCTGAACTTAAAATATGTAAGGAGGCTGCTTTAGGCTAAACTTGATTTAACAGTAACTAGGAATGAAGGTGAAAGAAAAAAAGGATTTTAAATAATTGTCTGGACACGGAAAATTAATGAGATGAAGGGGAAAAGAAGATAATGAGATTTCCAGCCTGAATGACTCAGCTTCAGGCGGGTGAGAGTGACCTTGTGTCAGCTAGATGACTTAGTGGAAGGTAAAGCCCCAGATCTCAAAAAGTATAATTAGAGATTCACAGAATTTTAAAGCTGGAAAGGGTTCTAGAGATAATCTATTTTAGATCCTTTATAAGAGGACAACTAAAGCAAAAGAAAGGTCTGTGACTCAATCCAGGACAGTAAGCATGGAGGGGGGCCATAGTGTAGCAGCACCTACATCCTCTCCCACCAGGCCATCCTGCTTGTTTCCCCATCCTGACCATGTAGCTCTCTGGACAGTGGTTCTCAAGGTCTGAACCGAGTACCAGAGCCTGTCTGCAGTCAAATTAGGCAAAATAAGGGAAACAGATAATTTTTCAAAAAGTTAATCATTTAAGGAATCAGTCTTTACTCTGTAATCTAAGTTCCTAACTCAGTCTTTGTTTTAATTTATGGATCTGAAAAACCCACAGGTCTGAGAGTCATTTCTCTGTAGGATAGCAAGTTATGTGTGAGCTCTCTTTCCCAAAGCACAACAGCAGGGCGTAAAGAAGCAGCCACAAAAAGGATGACAACAGTGTTTTCCTGGCTCTGCCCCAATCCCCACTGCCAGGATTACAGCCATCTTCCCTTTGTTGTAATTCTCTTGCCATAGGGGTGGGCAGGAGTCCCCGACAGAGGGGCGGGGGCGGGTGAGCGGCTCCCACCACCCAGAGCTCGGAATCACTGTCCCTCGGCCGTAGACCAAGGCTTGGTGGTGGCAGCTGGGGCGTGGACATCCATTCTTTGATATAGCCCTGTGGGATTTCTTTACTCCTCAGTCATAGGTAAGGTACACTGCAAAAGCGGCTTCAATCCCCCTCCCCAGCTAATTACCTTCCCGGAATGACGCCTCAGCCCCTCACAGAAGCAGACCCTGGTGGGCTGTCCCGTCTGAGCTCCAGAGAGGCTCTGCCGCCCGCCGGGATCCAGGGCTGCGTTCCGTCCCGGGGGACATAAAACCCGACAGGGGATAACGGGTCACAGCACCCTCCTGGCAGTAAGTCATGAGACTTGGGCACGCTGGGTTAGCCGGCGGGAAGGCCTGTGGCGGCAATCACCAAAGGTCGAGCAAGGGCTGACCCATTTCCTCCAAAAATGAGCCAAAGGGAAAGCAGTGCCCCGGAGTCAAGGTATCGGGGCTGCTTCTCCTTCAACTAGCGGCGGGAACAAGTCATGCTACTGGGGCCTGTTTCCTCAATTGTAAAATGAGGGGTCTAGGATTCCCTCTAGGAATGTAAGATTCTAAAATCGAACAGGGTTTGCTAGCACCGCCAGGGCGGAGCCTCACGGGGCGCCGCGGGAAACCAACGACAGGACTCGCCACAGCAGGAGCTCTCTCCAGACCCTACTCTAGCCACGTGGCTGCCGGGTCAGAGGGCAGCGTGCGCGTCCCCGCCGGGCCTGCGTGAGCGTCCCCGCCCAGCTGTCGGCAGAGGCCGGGCCGGGTGGGCGGGGCGCGGCAGGGCGCGGCGGGGCGGGGCGCGCCAGGAGGGCGGCTGCCTCTGGAGTAGGCCGGCTGGAGAAGAGAAAAGGCGGCGGCCCGGCTGGGGAAGAGGGGTGGAGGAGGCGGTCCGGACGGCTGTGTGGGGCACTGACCGTCGCCGGGACAGAGCGGAGCAGCTGGGCACGGCGTCCAGGGCAGCTAGGGCCTGGGCCGCGGTTCGGCCGCGCTGGCCGGTGAGTGTCGGGAGGCCGGCAGGAGAGGCCGGCGCCGTCCGCCCTGCGGTGGGGACCGAGGCGGCGGCTGGGCAGTTAGAGGCCGGCAGCCGGGATCAAGGCGCTGGCGCTGGCGACCGTGGGGTTGACGGGCCCGGCCTGGAGTGAAGGAAAGGCGGCTGACCCCGGTCCTTGCGCGTCCCGGGTCGGCCGTCCAGTCGCGCTGAGAAGGCGTCCGTGGCGCTGGTGTCCGCGCCCGGCAGCATGCCGGGCCAGCCGTTGAGGTCAGCAAATGGCGACTCAAGTCCCGAGGGTACCGACCTCCGTGTTCCCCCCAGTTTGTGTGTCTGTGTATTGGGAAGGGACGAAGGAGGAGTTAAACTTAGGGAATCCTAAGCTTCTTGTTGAGTCTGGCTTTTAGAAACTTGGGTTCTTTGGGGACAAATGGGTTAAAGTAAGACTAGGGAGGCATCATCCACTGTCTGCACGGGATGAGCAAAGTTGGTAACTTTTCCATTCATGGAAGTGAGAGGTTCTTATCCTTAGCCTCGGTCGTTATTAAAGGGAAACTTCCTTATTTTGCAGACCTGAGGTTATTTGTGGTGTTCCACGACCTGCACCTTGGAACTGCTTTGCTTGGAAGGGGTTTATAGAGCGCGTGCTGAATTCGGAGTAATCTGCCAATATGTTTTTAACGTGTGTATTTGGGAGTATAGAGGCAAAGAGGCAGAACAGTATGTATTTACCATGATCCTAGTACTCCATTTCCCTCTCCCTTTCTCTTTTTTTTTTTTTTTTTTTTTTTTTTTTTTTTTTTTTTGAGCCCTGTCGTAAGTCCCAAATAAAAGATGCTTGGGAACGAATTGACCTTTTATTCCATGATTACTTCGTTGACTCTGATCCAAGATGAAGTTATTTATGGGCATTATGATATCGGTGTAGATTAAGTTAAAACTCTTTTAATACAAAATCCCAAACTTTTTAAATTTCCATTTGCTCAATTTCAATACTGTTTGTTCTTTAGAGACCTATGCAAATTATATTAACAGGTTTTGCATTTGCACATACTAAGGTTTTCCAAAGCAGTCCAGTTGTTGACATGGCAAAAGGAAAAGAGTAGCATAAAATAAACCTTTAGGGTTTTTCAGAGGGTTAGATTTCAATATGCGGTTTCCGCTGAATCACTCTTCTTAATGCTTAGTCACTGTTTCTCATCACAGAAGTTTAATTGGGGGTAACATGGTGTTTTGCTAACTTTTTAAATTGCCAATTTGTTTTTACCTAGCACTTTAGTGCCGTGACGTAACTTTTTTTTTTTTTTTTTTTTTTTTAAATTCTGGTAATAGTGGAGTTCCGTGAATGCTATAAGAGAACTGAGGTTTCCAGTATAGGCACACTTTAATGTATACCAAGTGTACTAGGTATTTAATTTCAATCCAGTATTTCTCCCGGTCTAGCATTGGGAGACTTCTTCTAAAAAGTGTCCTAATATATCATTAAAAAGCAATATTATATAGGTAATGATAGCGTGTATAGAGAGGTACCTTAAGGTCACCAAAATAGGCATTAGTTAATGCTTACTGTTTGATATAACATATTTCTAAGATGTGAATATTTTAATGGGTAAGCCCTATGCTATTCCGTATGATTTTGGATAAATCTTTTAATTCAGTTCCTAAGACTGCTTATTTGATAAAAGGAGTTAGTACATACTATGGAATGTCATTGTATTTGTATAATTTTTTGACATAAAACAATTGAGTCAAAGGCTGTATAAAATATAAATTAAATTCAAATTCAGTGTGATGAAATAGAGGAGATTGGCCTTAAACAAGTTGCTTCTATATTTTAGGTAGATAGATGTTAGATGCAGACAGGCGGATCAGTTAAAACCCAGTCTATGAAAATCTTTTTTTTAAAGAATGGGTAATGTTATTACTAGGTAGTTCTTCGTATGATTGCATTTAATTAATGATCTCATAAAAATAATTACACATACAATTTTTGTGTATGTAAGTGTGGCTGTTGTGCAAATCGAAGTACATCTGGTTTCTGAGAAGTACATGTTTATATCCTATTGGACATACACATAATTGTAAACAACCTTTTTAAAGTTCTAGGTTGTTTCCAGAGTAAAGTAACTGCCTCAAGGTCACTAAGCTGAGACTCCTTGGAAGCCCATTCCCCCATGTCATGTTACCTGTTTTAATAAACTGAGTTCTGCCATTTGGGTGGATTATTTTTATCTGAGTATCAACTCAAATAGGTTCTAGTCTGAGTATTAAATATTTATTAATACTATTTCAATTTCCTATGTAAGTCTGTGATCGTTTCATTTGCTTATTTAGTGGAGAATATTGCAAATAGATATCGCTTTAGAATATGCTACTCATGACCATGACCATATTTAGAAATGAAGAATATATGTTTTGATATATCTGGAACAATAAAACGTAAAAAAAAATCCATATAATTAGGTCATCCATTTTATAAATGAAAACGAAAGTTTAATAAAAGAATGTATACCTTGTAATCCATTTAGCCATTTGGGATTGAAAGCTAGTGCTTTGAGTTGGTAATTTAAGGATGTCTTTTTGATTTTGTCTAACCAGTGCCCCCCAAACCCACCTCTTTTTAAACAGTAAGATAAGATGCCTAACTGAGGTATAGATTTATTATCATTTTTTAAAGCTGAGTGCGCCTGATGAACAGATCAGTCAGTAGAGGTACTATGCACTAGTACCTCTGGACTTTACAAGGGATGAGATTTGCACTGGAAGAGCTGATAAGTGATTGCTAAATTTGAAATTTCATTTGTGGACTTAACTTGTAATAATGGTTAATTAATTGAACAAATCTGTCTATAGTTTTATATCAGCCTTACATTGGAACAGTATATTACTGTTTTAAGTATATTTTATTTAATACCATGTTAATTGTAATATTAAGCTGTAGGCTGATAGCACTTCCTATTTTGAACTTCTTTTTCTCACTCTCTATTTCAGGCACCTTTGCATGTGTAGACCTTAATCTCTTCCTTTCTTTTTGAACCCAGTGCTTCTGTATTCATTTTTTTTTTTTTCCAGTAATTGGTCTGCAGGTTTGATTAGGGAATTAAAATAGTAGAAATATATAAGGTAAATGCTTCTTCCTGTGTTTCTCATATTATTATTATTTAAGATTTTAAAACAATGGAAGGTTGAAACTAACTTTCTCTGATTTGCTTTTTTGATAGATGATTTGTCTAACTCCATATATAATGCCTGAAACATATTACTTATGTGCTCAACATATGTTTGAGCACCATTGACTTTTTATGGCCAGTACAGTGAAGTAATTTTGATTCAGTTTGATTGATGCCAGATCTGTAAGGTATTTTTATGTGGAATATGTAGTTTTCCATGAAATGAAGACTCGTGATTTGTCCATTTCATTATTTCCTTATAATTCTTCGTGTATTTAACACAAATGAGTCTCTAATTGAGGCAGAATTTTGAATGTAGGGAACATAAGAATGAATGAGATAGAGATGATTCTGACTTTCATGGAGCTTATAGTTTTCCTGTGGAAATAGATATTAAAGAAAACGATGACTTACTTAGAGTAGTCACTAGTATTACCAGGGAAAAAGGCAGTGTGTAATGGGTACACACAATAGGGGATCCATACCTTGTCTTTGGAGTATGTGGAAAAGGAACACATAAGCGGAGATTTAGGGTTGAGGCAGTAGGGGTGTGTGTAGAGGAAAAGATATGTGTATCTGTCTGTGTGTTAGAGGTAAAGGCAGACATTAGGAACAGCCTTGAAGCAGCAGGTTATTTTGAATACATTAGATGACTCTTATGTTTTAAAATCATGCTAATTTGCACTTCTTTATATTTACTTACCTCTTTATGTATTTTAATGAATTTTTAAAAATACTTTTTTGAGGTCAATGTATTTATGCCTTTAATGACAAGATCTCATTTCATTATATGGGAAAATGCCATGTCTTAGAACTATTTTTATGAATTGCTTGTCAGCCACTGAGTATGAGTTGGCAAAGAACTTCTCTTAGAGAAAATTGAAAGAATTGAAAACATTTGATGATTTACTAATATTTTCAGGTCCAGCGAAACTTTTCCAATAATTTAAATTCAAGTGTAAATTATTAGAGATGTTAGTTGTTTTCTACTGTGCCTGCTGTGTAACTGATAAATAAGAGATTGATGTTTTTAAACCTGTTCTACAGGATTTACAGGCAGTTGCAAAATACTTTATAAAGGCACGTTTAATTTGATCTAGTGGTCTTGATTAGGTGGAGGATGAATCTAGGGGAGTTTTAAATTCAATACTCAGAATACTCTTAGTATTGACTACTGTATTTTCTTAATTTTTTTCTTAATATAGTTAATAGGAAAATGGAATTGAAATTCATTCCTCATTTGTATGGCTATTTTAAGAATTGTTAAATTTAGTAATGTAATGTTCTGTACACTTATAATGAGCGTTATCTATGTAAATTATTCTTCAAATAATTTAAAACATATATATTCAAAGCAGAGTAAAATGCTATTAAAATTGGAAGAGACCAAAAGACTTTCTTGACCACAGGAGTGATTAAGTACTGGGATAAACTACAAGCAAAGTTGTGTAATCTCCATTACTCACATAATGTCTTAACATTGGATCACCAGTTACAGAAGTACCGCCTTATGTTTTTAAACTTTTATAAGTAAACATACCTGTTATTGTCCATGGATGTTGATCGGACATGGAGCTAGAACGTATAGTCCTAGCTCTGCCACTTACTAGGTAGATGACCTTGGCAAATCACTTACTCTTTCTGAACCTCAGTTTCCTCCAGGTTGTTATAAAGACATGTAAAGAAGGATAAAATAGGCACATAATTACTGTTCTCTCTTCCTTCTAAGTCTACTTCAGAAAATAATAAATGTTATGAACTTGTTGCTATGAATGCTTTTTTAAAACCTTATTCAAAGGGGGATGGATAGTGTAAAAGAGACTATTTATTTGAAGCTTGACTACTTTCCTTCTACCTTTGAAAATTATGGCTGTTTTTGCTTTTAACTCAGACCCTGTTTCAAGCAGTCGCTATTTTAAGCGCTTTTGAATTAAGTGATATTTTTAAGATGTGTTTTCCCTGGTGGTGTCATGTGATGGTGTGTACAGTAACATAAAGTGTCCCTAAAAGTTCTGAGAGCACTGGTTACTTCTGTTGAAACTGCTTGTATTTTTAGGTTTCTCCCTTAGTAACAGTCAAGCTTGTAACCTTCAGCATGTGAGATCAGCTCAGTCTAGTTCTTGCAAAATAAGAAAGCTACAGCTGTTTCACAGTCTAATCACTCAGTAAGATTTGTTGTAATTCTTAATAAAGTTTCTCTTTAAATGTCCGGTTAATTTACAAATGTTTGTCACTAGTCTTTTTCTATATGACTATTTTAGTATGTCTATTTTTATAGTTCTATACTTATCTTTAAAATTTATGAAGATAAACATTTAAAAATATTCAACTCATAATTTGTAATTTTTAACACAATTTAAAAATACAGTTTTGGTGTTGAGTATGTACCTTGTCTTTTCTTTGACATCATTGAACACCATAATATCAATTTGGAACTTTTCTACTGAATCAAGAAAAACTCTGTTGATGATGATTCAGGTACACTTTTGTTCTTCTAGTTTGAGAAAACTCATGCCTCAACTGGAGAAAAAGATAATAGCAATTGAGGAGTGATTAATTAGTTACTTGGAGCCAAGATAGATTTTATGGAAAAATATGTCATAGGGTTAACAATGTCTTATGCACTGAGGTGAAGAAAACAGGGTAAGAATCACCTTCCAGTCCAGAAAATTCTTGTCTACTACAATGCAATTTGATTTTGGAAATGTTGAACTGAGTTGCCCGTGCCATATACAAGTAGAAATATATCATAAGTAATCCATTGTAGAGAGTGAAGAGGAGTTTGAAAGAGGAATCTGGTAGGATGTATAGATGGATTTTCAGCATATGTGTGGTAATTGAAACTTTTGGAGAAAATGAAAGCACCCAGGGAGAATGTACAGAATAAGCAAAAAATGACACAAGCCCTGAAGAAATGCAATATTTAAGTAATTATTATTGAGGAATAGTTAAGAAAACTAAGGGTAGGAGAAAGACTGGAGTGACATCATGAAAAGTAAGAGGATGTAATAGTCCCAAAATAAGAGATTAGTCATCATCACGATACAGTGGCCACGGAAGATGGGGTCTGGAAAAATATGCCCTCCAGATTTAGTATTGAGGTTCTCAGCAGAGCGGTTTTAAGAGGGGTAGTAAAAATAGAGCCAGAATAGAGAGTTAAAGGACATATAGGAGATTAGAAGTTTTTTGGTGGTATTTTTCTTTAGAAAACTTGACTGGATAAGAAAAAAAAATGGTGGCAAAGGGCGGATATTATGTTATTATTTCAATTATTATTATCACTTTTTGAGACAGAGTCTCACTGTGTCACCCAGGCTGGAATGCGGGGGTGCACAATCATGGCTTACTGCAGCATTAATCTCCTGGGCTCAATTGAGCCTCCTGCCTTGGCTTCCCAAGTAGCTAGGATTATAGGTACATGTCACTATGCCTGGCTAATTTTTTTGTTTTTGTTTTGTAGAGAGAGGGTCTTACTATGTTGTCCAGGCTGGTCTTGAACTCTAGGCCTCAAACGACCCTCCTATCTTGGCCTCCCAAAGTGCTGGGATTACAGGTTTGAGACACCATGACTATTATTTCAGTTTTTAGAGGTTAAATAATCTTTTAAGTTTTTATTGCTAATAGGAAACACGCCAGTAAAGAAGTTGATTATACTAAAAATACATTGAATAGACTCACTAAATATAATTAAGTCAATATATTATGGTTAGACTTTTCTTTTTGATGTAAAACTTTTCTTTATAAAAGTTACAGTGCAAATTTTAAAGCAGGAAAGACTTAATCCATTCATGTTATTTTATAGAACTATTTCTCTGCTTACAATTCTCAGTGACTTCCAGTTGTAAAAGTGTGAACTCTTTAGAGCAGCATAAAGCACTCATTATGATTTGCCTTATTCCTTTCTGGCCTCATCTTTTACAGATACCTTGCATTTTTCCCTGTGATCCAACAATACTAGGGAACTTGAGGTTTTGCTAATTCATGCTTTTTGGTATTTGCATTTGCTATTACTTCAGCACTGAATTCCTCTCGTTTTTACCAGTTTACCCTCCCGTACTTAAGACCTCTCTTTCAAGACTACTGTGAATTATTCTCTAATCCCTACTCATATTGATTATTATCTTCTCTATTGGTACCATTTTACTTCTATCATATGGACCACATAAAAACGACATACACTTTTTACTGTCTTTGACATCTTGCTGTAGCTTTTTGAGAGGAGGCACCGTGACTTGCTAATCTTCATATTGCCACACCGAACACAGTGCCTGATCCATGATAAACAATAAATAGGCATTTAGTGAATGAATGTGACCCTCAAAAGTAAGTGATTGGCCCACAGCCACAGAGCTTGAGCTAGAACTTTTATTTTCTGGATAAATTCCTTGTATGTTCTAATTAAGACTTAATTTGTTGCGGAATTTATTAAGGCATATATAGAAGGAGGGATCAATAGATGAAATCTTAAATGAATTCATTTAGAAGGAATGAAAAGAAAACTTCTAATAAAGTTTTAAATACATTCATGAAATTCATACTGTTCTTTTTTAGTAATATGAAGTCTCTGCAATGTGGGGTACAATCAAAATCAGTTTAGTTGAAATTAGAAGGATAAAAGTGAAAACACTCTGAAATCTAAAATGCACGTTAACTTGTTTTTAGCATTATGTAGTATACAGTATTAGAATTTAAATCATATATTTTGAAACTTTTGCGCTTTTAGGCATATTGTTATATGGTATATAAAAATGAGCCCTTATGACATTCTATAGTATTGAATTGTTACTAGAATATAAGTGCTTACGTCCTTTCAAGACATTGATTATATGTAAAATTAACTGGTTACATATGTTTATTTTATATATGTCATCCTAAAATAAACCAAGATATTAGATACATTAGTGATTTAATTATTAAACGATTTTGAAAAATCAACAATTTTTTGGCTAACTTCTTATCTTTTTCCATTTCATCAACCAGAGCTGTGCTAGCCATTATGGAGGAGCAGCTGCAGCATTCCCATTGTGTGAATTGTGTCAGTAGACGGTGCATGACTAGACCAGAGCCTGGGATTTCCTGTGATTTGATTGGTTGTCCATTGGTTTGTGGTGCAGTTTTCCATTCTTGTAAAGCTGAAGAGCATCGACTTTTATGTCCATTTGAACGAGTGCCTTGCTTAAATAGTGACTTTGGATGTCCGTTTACCATGGCCCGAAATAAAGTTGCTGAACATCTGGAAATGTGTCCTGCAAGTGTGGTGTGCTGTACTATGGAATGGAATCGATGGCCAGTTAGTTATGCAGACCGGAAATCATATGAAAATCTAAGCAGAGATGTTGATGAAGTGGCACAATTGGATATGGCCTTGGCTCTTCAAGACCAAAGGATGCTCTTAGAATCCCTCAAAGTAGCCACCATGATGTCAAAAGCAACTGATAAAGTATCCAAACCTAGAGAACAAATCTCAGTTAAATCAAGTGTCCCAGAAATACCACATACTAATGGTTTGGTGTCTGTTGATGAAGAATCTTATGGTGCACTTTATCAAGCTACTGTAGAAACAACCAGAAGTTTGGCTGCTGCTTTGGATATCCTGAATACTGCTACAAGAGACATTGGCATGTTAAATACAAGTATCCCAAATGACATGGATGAAGAGCAAAATGCGAGAGAAAGCTTAGAGGATCAAAACTTGAAAGACCAAGATCATCTTTATGAGGAGGAGATAGGAGCAGTAGGTGGAATTGACTACAATGACACAGATCAGAATGCCCAGTCTGAACAAAATGGTTCAAGTGATTTATTATGTGACTTGAATACAAGTTCTTATGACACTTCACCTCTTTGTAATGGCTTTCCTTTGGAAAATATATGTACCCAGGTCATAGACCAGAATCAGAATTTACATGGTGATTCAAAACAAAGTAACTTAACAAATGGAGACCGTGTGGCATCAGATGGCACTTCAAAACCTTCCAGCTCACTTGCGGTAGCAGCACAACTTAGGGAAATAATACCATCCAGTGCTTTGCCTAATGGCACGGTTCAGCATATCCTTATGCCAGATGATGAGGATGAAGGTGAATTGTGTTGGAAAAAAGTAGACTTAGGGGACTTGAAGAATGTGGATGTCTTATCTTTCAGTCATGCTCCTTCATTCAATTTTCTTTCTAATTCATGTTGGTCTAAACCAAAGGAAGATAAAGCAGTAGATACATCAGATTTGGAAGTTGCAGAAGATCCCATGGGCCTCCAAGGAATAGATCTGATCACAGCAGCGCTGCTGTTTTGTCTAGGAGATTCTCCAGGAGGTCGGGGTATATCTGATAGCCGCATGGCTGATATTTATCATATTGACGTTGGGACTCAGACTTTTTCACTTCCATCTGCAATATTAGCTACAAATACAATGGTTGGGGAGATAGCTTCAGCTTCAGCTTGTGATCATGCCAATCCACAGCTTTCAAATCCAAGTCCATTTCAGACACTTGGGCTGGATTTAGTATTGGAATGTGTCGCTAGGTACCAACCCAAGCAGCGTTCAATGTTTACCTTTGTGTGTGGACAGTTATTTAGAAGGAAAGAATTTTCTTCCCATTTTAAGAATGTGCATGGTGACATTCATGCTGGACTCAATGGCTGGATGGAACAGAGGTGCCCTTTAGCTTACTATGGTTGTACCTATTCTCAGCGTAGATTTTGTCCATCAATACAAGGAGCGAAGATTATACATGATCGCCATTTGCGGTCATTTGGAGTTCAGCCATGTGTATCTACAGTATTAGTGGAGCCTGCTAGAAACTGTGTGTTGGGATTACATAATGACCATCTAAGTAGTCTTCCTTTTGAGGTCCTGCAGCATATTGCAGGCTTTCTTGATGGCTTCAGTTTATGCCAGCTCTCATGTGTATCCAAGTTAATGAGGGATGTGTGTGGCAGCCTGCTTCAGTCTCGTGGCATGGTCATACTGCAGTGGGGGAAAAGGAAGTATCCAGAAGGAAATTCATCATGGCAGATAAAAGAAAAGGTTAGTGTAATCTTTACAGCCTTTTATTTGACATAAAGAGGGCTTTCGTAATACTGCTGAATTAATACAATTAATATCTTGTTGAGAAATTGACCATTCCCTAAAACTTACTAAATCAATGTGATGACAGAATTTTTTTAATGGAAATTAATAATGAACTAGGATAGTTAGAATTGTTTGCCATAATTATAGGTTTACTAGAACTAGATTATAATCTAATATGGCAGAGACCACTTATGTTTCTCAATTTTTCTATAACAACTCTTTTTTGTTTGGGTCCATTTTACCATTTTCTAATTTGGACTCCATCTGAAAAATTTGCATCATAAGATAATGGAGGAAGTAAGAAGAGGGTTTTTTTCCTGCTTGTAATTGTCTCTCCATTCTATGGCCATTTCGTTCTTAGGATTTGGTTGTTTCAGGTATAACCTAAATAGCGAGAGATGAGAAAAAGTTATAACTACGACTATGGTCATATATTAAAGTGACCAGAGGAACATAAATGGATGAATGAGGAAATGCTTCAGGCTCGTGTGAGAAAACAGTAGGGCAGTAGGATTTGATATTTTGGGTGGGGACTCGGTTTAGTGGAGTCCAAAGAAGTGATGCATACTGTATTGGAAACTTGAGCTGGAAATTTAGGCAGACCTAAGCAAATTCAAGCTACACCATTTTCCTTCTGTGATACCCTACTTTTGCTCAGCTTCTATTTGGCACTACTCAGTAGGACCTGGAAGGCATTACAGATATCTTTGATTGAAGGTGTTTTTTATTTTTGAACACTTACAATATGACACTTTTACATTTTATAAAGTGGAAACAATTGTGATAAACTTTACATTTAGTTGCACAGCATTCAAACTGGTTGCTTTATTTGTAGCACCTTTAGGTTTTCTTTCATTCATTGCACTGATTTTTCAGAATTCTACATCCACTTGGTTTCCCTGAGGCTTTGACCAATAAATGATCACATAAATTGTTTCATGATTTTTTTTTTCCCAAAAGGGAATTTCTGATGGCAGAAAGTTTCTACCACTTGTGTTTGTGTGTATTTTTGTTTTCCATATGATTTTGTATCTTTTCTTCCCTTTGGGATGGGACACTCTTAGTATGGTCTTTTTATCTTTGCCTACTAGTATTGACATATGGAGTGAAATGTTTTTTGGGGATTCTATAATCATTCCTGCAGAAAATCTCACCTACTCTTCAAATTTAACTCGCCATCATTTATATAGATTAGTCACACATCTGTCTCCTAGCCATTTGCTCCACTATACACAAGCATCTACTGGACATTTCCACTTGATTACCCTACAGCTTTCTCAAACTCAACATATCCAGCCTACTCCAGTCCTCCCCCTCTTAGTCTGAGAAAGTGGCACCATCATCACCAAGTTTCCTAAACCAGGAATTTAGGAGTTATGTTGACTGCTTTTTCTCCCCCCTTTGTTTTTATTCAGATAATCATGAAGTCCTGTTTATTTTCCCTTTCTCATACCTCTCAGGTTTGCTTCTCTGTTTGCACTGCCATTTCCCAAGTTCATTCCCAACTTTAGTAGTCTCCTAGACTACAACAACAGCTTCCTTCTAACTGGGTTCCTACTTCCATTTGGGCCCTTCTAAAATATATTCTCTACACAAGAGCTAATGTGATATGTATTTTCTTGAATACAGTTCTTACACTGTCACTGCAGTGCTTAAAAACATGTTTAATATTTGTTCATCACCCCGGGATAGAGTCCAGCTCCTTAATAAAACATTTGAGACTTTTCGTAATCTCATCTTTATCTTTTGACTTTCCTTTTCATTTTATACTGTAACCATGTTGATTTACTGACAGTTCCCTAATGTTTTTTCTTGCATTAAGTCTTTAAAGTATGCCATCCCTAATACTCACACTTGAGTACCTGCAATATGCTACTCAGTGTGCATTAGTACTTGTATTAACTTACATAATCCACTGTCCCCATTTTACAGACAAACAGAGGTTAAGTAAGCTTGCCAACTAATTGACTTAGGAAACTGGTTTCTCCATCTTTTGATCTTCATCTTTCTTGCTGTGTCCTGCTTACTCTTCAGGTTTTACCTCCTGAAGATAGCTTCTTGGCACCCAAACCCTGACACCTTCTGAGAGTTGCACTGCTCTGTGTTCCTGTGGTGCTCCATTATATACCTCTACTAAAGAACTCACTGTGCTGTTTTGAAATTGATTGATCAGTTTCAGTCACTAGACTGTAAATTCCTTGAGAAGTGGGACTCTCAGGGAACCAAAATACTCCCTTGCATAGCAGCTACTATGTAGTAGGCACTCAGTAAATACTTGATGCGTACTTGGATGAAAGATGGATCCATTACTAAGAAATCTTGTAATCAGCAGGGGGAGTCATACATTTTCTTTTGCCTGCTTTTCCTAAGTTTGCTTCAGCAGACTCTCAGTTGTACGGAAGTAGAGAGACTGCCTGTCTCCATTGAATCTTTCAGCTAATTCACCTGCCAAAGCTTAAAGAAAACTAATGCCTTTGTAGTTTTGTGAGCATAGGGAATGGTAAGGGAGGCTAGTGACATCTATACTATCACTAGGCCTTCACTGACTCCTGGGAAATTACTCCATAAAGGGTAATTGATCATAACCCTAAGGAGTATAGGGGGTACCCTTGTGCTGAACAATGGGGACTTTCTATTGCTAGTTGACAAATAATTGGTTTCCCACAAAATTTGAAGACATCTAGCCACCCCGAGAAGATATTACCTTGCTTTCCTGAGAAGCAATAAATGCTGAGGGTTTTGCTTAAATCTGGCACTCTCTAAAGCAGGGGTGTCCAATTTGTTGGCTTCCCTGGGCCACATTGGTAGAAAAAATTGTCTTGGGCCACACATAAAATACACTAACTACAGCTGATGAGCTAAAAAAAAAAAAAAAAAAAATTCAGATAACGTTTTAAGACAGTTTACGAATTTGTGTTGGACTGCATTCAAAGCTGTCCTGGACCACATGCTGCTCACGGGCCCCGGGTTAGACAGGCTTGTTCTAAAGCATCTGCTGTTCAACGCATTGTAAACTGTTCCCTGTATCAACATTTGCCTGTTGATACACTTAGCAGGGATGCCTAGGCCTGTCCTGCCCCATTCATGCTTGTTATCTAGGTCTGTCCTGCTCTGCATTCATGCTTGTTACTAGTTCAGGTAGCTATATGTTTCATTTGTAAAGATGAGGGGCATGGGGCACAGTCTTTACTGGACTAATAATTTGACAGTGCTTTAGGGCCTAGAGCTGTTGAGGGGACAAAAGGGGAAGAAGCCAATATTTTTACCTACAGACATGAATAGGGATGGCAGGTGAATATTTTGCCTAGAAACATGTTTTACAATGATACGAACTAAAATAGGATCCACTTTACAAATATTATTTTTATATAAAATTTCAGAGCGATTTTGAACAAATCGAAGTACTTGAATATTATTAAGCACCTTTAGTACTTGTGAACAGCAGGAAAATAAGCTTGCCTTGGCATACATTATTCTAAGGTATTTTTTAGTACTGATAGTATAAATAGGAATGGGAGAGAAAAATCTGGAGAAAAAAAGAAAAACACTTGCATTGTATCTCCAGAGTGTGGTTAGTTCTAGATAGCCAGTCGGAGAGTATGAAAGAATGGTGTGCAGTACATAATATTTTAGGAAATGGCTCTGAATTTGTGCAGTTTTAATTTTATAAAAATCATTTGGTAAGCCAGATTGGGGTGTGATTTTTAATACTGAGTTTTGTCTTTTATTGTTTTTAAATTTATTGAAGTCATAATGTCATAGAAGTGATTTACCTTGTAAATATTTGACAGATATATTTGTATCCAAAAGGATTTGCCAATTTTTAATTTTATAGCTATTTGAAACTTTATATTGGATGCTTCTGCAATAGCAGAAATGTACGCAGTAGGAGCAAAAAGTGTGTTTTGATTCTCTACAGATTGACTTGTTTAAATCTAAAGTAGAATTTTCTTGTAGGTATGGCGATTTAGTACTGCATTTTGTTCTGTTAATGAATGGAAATTTGCTGACATCCTAAGCATGGCCGACCACTTGAAGAAATGCAGTTACAATGTTGTCGAGAAACGGGAGGAAGCAATCCCTTTGCCATGTATGTGTGTGACACGAGAACTCACTAAAGAAGGACGTTCACTACGCTCAGTTTTAAAACCTGTACTTTAAAAGTTGTAATTTTACTTGCACATATATGCAAGCACCTAGTATAATTTCTTTGTAATATGTGAAACTTTATTAATGTATTAAATATTACAACTAGCTAAATTTATTGTCACTATGTATATAATGTTTTGAAGTGACATCTATTTTTATAAAGTACTGTTTAGTTGGAAAAAGTTGCCTTAATGTTTGAAATGTGTGAAATTTTTGGAACTTGCTGGACAGGGTGATTTAATTTTTAGCCGCATAATTTTAAGAATTAGTATTTTCAGTGGTGTGCATATTTTGGTTCCTAAATTTTTGCTTCTTAAACTAAAAATATCCTGACCAATTTATTCCTTGTTTTCTGTGGGTTGCAACCCATGCAATCAAAAAGCAAAACTTTGACTCAGATTTTTTACAGCATAGGTTTTTCATATAAAAATATTCTCAATTTCTTAAGCACTGCCATAAGATCATTATAATGTTTTTGTTTTTTAGTGCTTCCCTATACAATTGTTAATGCACAGATGATCTCTAATATATACTTGCATATGTAAAATCGTAATTAAAGTTTGGTAATGCAGTTTATCATGTTTTAAAAATAATCCACAAAGATGTTTTTAATCTCATATACTTACAATTCAACACAGAGAGTGACCATGTGCAGCTTTCTTTTTTGTTAGATGCCACATCCAAAGACTCATCGCAGTGTGTTATATGACAGGACAATGCAAAAACAAGCAAACAAAAAGCAAGCCTGTGAATATACTGTAATTTGAAACTGCTCCTGGTATTACATATTTGCTGGATATCTAATGTTTTAAAAGAAAATATACCTCATTTTAAGTTTGAATTGGGCATATTGTATAAATTTCAAATATTCAGAATGCAAAGGGCTTAACTATTAAATTTTTGCCTTTTGATGTTTATAAACATTACAACTGTGTTGTTTTAAGACATTTAAAAACATGAAATTTGTTATCTTTTAAAATGACAATCATGTAGAAATGTGTTTTGGTTGACAATCTCTTTGAAACATTTCCAAGTTAATTTCCCATAGGCTTCACTACCAAGAAAGTAAGAATTGCATCTTTGCGTAATGGTCAAGGTATAATGGAAAAATATACCTATTCTTGAAGTAGTTTATTATAGTTTTCAAATTGATTTATACCATTATTAACCTGATGTGGTCTGCTTAAAAAATGAATATATCAGTGTTTAGATATAAATTGCAAAGGTGGGGATATATACTTAAACAATTTGTCTTTAGCATTTGGTAGTCTGAAATGGTGACAGATTGCTTGTTAAAATTGTGAAAACTCTGTTGTGTCCTCTCTTCCTACATTTGTCCCTGAGAGTGCTCTATGATTACTAGGTTCTTGATTCCCATATATGGCAATCAGGCAGAGGCGTTCCTTGGGCATTAGAGAGTTCCGAAGCTTAAGATTTGTTTTGGTTGGGTCAAGTCCTTAGTACAGTTGAAAAATACAGCATTAAAGACTAATCAATTGTTTTGTCTCACCAGTCATTTTAAATAGTAGAATACTTATTTCTCAGTGCTTAAAATTTCTTTTTCAACTGTGAGATTGAATAAGCAATCTGTATTTCTGTGAAAAAAACAGAAAAAATATATTAAATACCATAAAATATAACTCTGCCTTTTAAAGTTTTGCTGAAGAATGTGTCTGTGGTTAGGATAGCACAAGCATTAACTTTTGTTTTATAGTTATGCTTTTTAAAATTCATTGTTTTTAAATTTAGACTTCTTATTTCCACACTGGATTATGAGATATTTAATAATTTTCCACCTTATATTTCTTTTACACATTTTGCTGTTCTCTTTTTTGTTATTGTTATGCCACCATACCATTTTGTTAAAATGTTTTCTTTGTGAAACATTTGTTCAAGTTCTAATAAAATTAATATTTTCCCTTAACATGGCTCAATAACTTAAAAAGGTTCATTTAAATAAAATTTTAATACTTGTTTGACAAATTCCAACACAATCATATTGTTTCTGTAGTGTGGATTTTCTGCATGTTATGGTAGTTGTTGATTATCATTGCTCACACATGTTTTACTAGTGAACCTTAATTTTTTAAAAATATGAGACACTCATTACTTAGCTTTCTCTGATCATTCAGTGTCTCGAAAGTAATACCACCTAAGTTCACTGAAAGGCGGAAGAGTTTCTAGCATGGTTATATCTCTAAAAGTCATATAAACCATCTGTCTCTCCTCTTAAGTATGAAAAGGTTTGTATGTTGGCCTAATAGATTGTACTTTGAGAAGTCATCATTGATTCGTTAGTCTTTGCTAAATAGCAAGGTAAAAGGCAAGCATTGGGATGGAGGGAAGTATTTGAATTCACTTTTTTCCTCTGCCTCCTTCCCCAATACTGCCTGCTGGCTTAATCTTTCTCCCTCTCTCCCTCTCCCTTTTCCTTTTTCTCCCTTTCTCACTCTTTTTTACTAGATTTTGAGACTCACAGATCTTACAGCAGTGGTTCCTAAAGTGTGGTCCTTGGACTAGCAGGAACATCAACACCTAGAAATTTGTTAGAAATGCAGATTATTAGGCTTCTCTCCAGACTTAGTGAATCAGGAACTCTGGGGTGGGACCCAGGAATCTGTTTTAACAAGATCTCCAGGTGATTCTAATGCACAGTAAAGTGTTAGAACTTAGAGGGAAGCCTGAGTCATGTCAGCTACACTCTGGTGCATTACTGGAGTGGATATATGTGTGTACCTGTGTGTGTTTGTATAAATATATGTGTAATCAAAAATTGAGAGTAATGGTAATTTATTAATGGTTAAACTATATATGTTGTCTCAATTTTACAGCCATATGACAAAATACACTGGGTACTGTAGTTGTTGGACTTGTATTCTTTAAATTAGTCTTTATTAGTATTTAAAATTTTACTAGTGTTTCTTCTGTTCAAGGTAAATTGCAGTGCAAATTTTAGTTTATTAGCAGTAACATTTAGCCTAGTCATCTCATTCTCTTGTTTAGTGGTTGTGTAGAGTCGTGAACATATTCAGATTATAGGGTAGAATAGAAGTAGACAAATATTGGATTAAATCCTACAAAAATATTTTTAGGGATCTTTTCAACCCTATCAATATGATGTTATGAAAGATTGAATCTCTTGTTTATAGTAGTATAGAACCTTTTCTGATCTTTTTGACTCTGTGCTGCCTATCTCATCAATGTTGTTGCTATTTATATCTGTCCTTTAACACTGGATGTTGGGATCTTAGTAATGTTGATGATAATAGGATTTTCAGCAAAACTTCCATATCCCTTGAAGATATGGTAGCTTATGTTACTATATTGATAACAGTTTTACCTGTGGAGATTTGACTAGTTTTTAGGTGTTTGGAAGCAAAAGAGATTTCTTCATGTTTTGCATCCCAACCTGAAAAGACATGAGGTTTATTAATTTTAAAATTTCCTAAGGAAAAATTATTCAAATATTTTAAAATGTGTTTGTTTTGTGCATGACATGCCACATTGGTGTTGTGATTGTGATTGGAGCTTACAGAGTTGGTTGTTTAGAAGTGCAGTAGAAAGAAAGCAATTGGCCCTTATTCTCTGCACAAACTTTTGATGGAAATAATTTCTCTGATAGGTGTTTGACTGGTTATCTAAATGTTGCTGTAAGTAGTCTTACTTAAGATGCTCATAAGGTCTAGGAAGCAGAGAATATTAGTTATACCTTTATCAACTCATCAGTGACTTGTTTCATGATGTTTAAGATAATTTAATAATGGGGTTTGACAGGATTTATCTGATTTCCAAAAAAGCAAAGTTTGAATTCAGAAAAGATCAACTCTAATGAAGTCCTTTCTAAATAAGGGGAAAGGAAAGATGGTTTGCTTATCTTTTACATAATTATTCCCTTTATTTAAAAGATTAAAGTGAGATCAAGAGATAAAACCTTTCAAATTTGAATTTTATGGATGAGAAAACAGGTACTCAAAATTTAGGCAGTGATTAGTGTACCAGGATATTTGAGAGAGAATTATGTCCTTACATGGATCACTTTTTCACTTTACAAATGCAGGAAGAAAAGAGACATTTAGATGTAAGGAAATTTGGAAAATGTTGTCTAGGATATTTGATTCTTACTGCTTTGGAAAGCATTTTGGGGCAATACCAAAAGGAAACAAACTAACCAGGTGTGGTATGTTGCTCTGAAAACTTTGCGAAATTAGGGTCTCTTGCTGAATTTTACAAATAGGTTATTGCATCTATGATTAAACTTTTTAAATAAATTGCTTATACATATGTTTATTTGACATATATAATCTTCATAATTGGCCAGTACACCTTGAGATGTATTAATGGCGATACATCTTGAGGTGCTTTGTTACCTTAGCACATTTCAAAACTGGCATTTTGTATTCAGATTGTTTTATATTTCAGTGTATTATGTGGACAGTGACTTTTCATTAATAAACTACAAAGAAATGGGTTATAAGGAAGATTCATGAACATGCTGTATAGAAATATAGTAAAAATTCATTGATGCAAAGTCCTTTTTAAAAAATAATTTTCAATCTTTTTGATATGCTTCTGTCTTTTACTATGAAGAAAACATTTCTGAAGTGAACTGACAACATAAGGCAAATACTGGGTAAAAATTTAAACATCTCCAAAATCATTAACCCATTTGTATGCAAATATTAGGGAATGGTTCTTCAATACGTAGCTAGTTCTTGTGGTGGTTAATAGTTCGTGTGTTTGAAAGTAATAAAACTGCATTTGTGTTGAACTCTCAAAACCAATTAATCAGGTCAGTTACTCCTAACAAAGGTAAATTCATCAGATTTAATTTCTACCCTTTTCTAATACAAATTTTTAGAAATTTTCTTTCTCAGATGTAAGGCAAATAGGTTGATATATTTGTTTATTGTTTGACAGAGAAACTGACTAGAGTTAGCTTTTTAATACCCCTTACAGTCAAAAAGTAACATTGTTATATTTTGTTTTAAAATCATACCATTTTACAGTATAATCATACTGCACTGCCATTAGCTATTTGCTGGTATCTATATACTATAATTATGGGGCCATCTAGGTAGAAACCATATCTTATGTGGCTTTGCATCCCTGTTCCTAGCTGAGGGTCTTACAAACATACAGTGATATGGTTTGGCTGTGTTCCCACCAAATCTTGTCTTGAATTGTAACTCCACAATTCCCACATGTTATGAGAGGGACCTGCTGGGAGGTAATTGAATCACGGGGCAGGTCTTTCCCATGCTAGTCTCATGATAGTGAATAAGTTTTAAAGTCTGATGACATAAGAACAGTAACAATTTGTTAATATTCAAAAGATTTAAGTTGAAAAAAAAGGGGTCCTGCACTCTGCTGTCCTAGAATATATATTTTTTTTCTGTTGAAATCCTCCTTTCTATATTGTCATTATTGCTTCTTTATCCCATGACTTCAGTTTCCTGGTGAGGTGACCCTGAATTTAGTCATTTTGGTCAGTAGTTTTAGATTTAAGTAACTTACCACACTTGTTTTAAAGTCTCTCTCAGCTCACCCATGAAGAAACAAATTTTTTTTCATTTTTTTCTTCAAAAATCAGCAAGTCTTGCTGAATCTAACAAGTATCAGCATTCAGGTTTAACCATGTTATTTGATTGAAAGAAACCAAACCATGGAAATAATGGGCACTGTATCTGCTCAAGAGTAAAATTACCCAATGAATAATTATGTCATCTGGATGTCTTTTATATCAATTGATGACTTTTTAAAAAATCTGTATTTTAAATAAAATATGGAAAGAACAGTGTTGGTCCCTACAACATTCCAATAGCTTTGTCATGACAGCCATGACATATGAAATAAGTTACTCTGAATGGCCAATAATTCGGTGGACATGAATTCTAAAGATTTTTATTTGCACTTAAAATGTTAAAGTAGTATTGTTCATTTGATCAATGTTTGAATACCAGTCAGTATTGAAAACTTTTAACTGCATTCTGAAAGGTCATTGCACAGATTCACTTACCTCAGATGTCATTTAGCTTCCTTTTCTCATGATTTACATAAATGTTGTTACCTTAAATGCAGAAAGATGTGATATTCTTTGGAGGATAAAAAACCTAAGTGAATGAAGCTAGACACAAAAGGCTACATCTTATATGATTTCATTTATATGAAATATTCAGAATAGGTAAATTCATAGAGATAAATCAGATTCATGGTTGCTGGGGGAGGGGGAGTGACTGCTTCATGGGTATGGGGTTTTCTTTTGGATTGATGAAAATATTGTAGAACAAGATAGTGGGGATAGTTGCATAATATTGTGAATGTGCCAAAATGCCACTGAATTGTATACTTTAAAATGGTGTATTTGATGTATATGTTGTTACAATTAAAAAGAAAAGAATTTAGTATTTGCAGTCATTACCAAAGCCAAAAACTAGTGTTCTCAACGTTTGTGAAATGCCCAACCATGGTTTAGAATTAATTTATAGCATTAGTAACATGACAAATCTATTCAGCTTAAAGTTCTCGTAAAATTTGTGAATCCCATCTTAGAAGTACCCCTGACAGCAGCAGAAATAAAGCTGTAATTCATCAAAATTTCCTTATATTTAATACTTCTGTGACTGAGTAATTGACTTCTGTGTCAATGTTTATGTTTTATCTTTTGAAAATTTTTATGATTCCTTGTGGCACATCTCAAACATACTTTTTAAAGATGTGATTTTAAAATCATGCTTTGAAAAAAAATTGTGTAATTTTCAAGGTGATTTTTTTTATAGTTTTATACTTTGTTTCTTTTAAAGAACAAATGCAACTTGTATTAGAGTAAGACTAAATAAATTGTACTGATGTGTACATTTTTATGCTTTTGTATTGTCTTGTGGGGAAAAAAACTATTTGAATCTTAAGATTGGTAGGAACTCTAATGATCATTTAGTTTCTCATTTTATATTTGGAGAAATTGAAGCTGAGGTTATCGGTGTGTCATTCATTTAACAGGCATTTATTGAACACTCATGCCAGGTAATGTGTAGGCTTGGCTCTGGAAGGTTATTTCATGCTTGAAAGTTTCACAGGTAATTTCTTTTTTTCTTGTTTTTTCTTTCGTCATCTAGTAACTATGCCAGACACATGGACAAACGGACAAGTTTCAGAGGAGGGGAGGCTTACGCATAGAATCACTTTAAGTGGTTCTTCTCATAATTCTTCAAACATCTTAAAGAGATGTTCTTCAGCGCAGTAAAGCACACATGATCATAAGTAGTCTGCTACTTAAGGAATGTGTTACTACTTTCATGACTTTGGGAAGGGAGTATTTTTGAATCACTTTAAACCAATTATTTTCCATTGTTTTAAGGAGCCAGCTTCATACTGTTGGTTCAAATCAATCTGTAAAGAAAATTAAATTGCTTTGCAGATAACAGTGCCTCTCATATAGTTGGGGGTATATATGTGAAAGGTTGTGTATGCTTCAAGTTGAACAACAATAAGTATAATTAAAGAACTTAACAGAATGAGGTTGATAAGGTGATAAACATAGACAAGCAGCAGTACAGTGGCTTTACTTACACACTGCAAGAGTCCAAAATCAAAGAAAATGAGAAGGTAATAGTTGTGATAATTCATACACTAACACATTTGTTATGATTTTTTTACCTTACTAATTTCTTCTTAATATTTTGCTACTTCTACAACAGGACTTCTCACCAAATAGGTTATTTGACTTGACTTTCCTTAATCATCTACCTTCTCTTATTCCATCACTTTACACTCTACATTTCTGCTGCATTGTATTACTAACTATTTCCCAAACACTTCATATCCTTCAATGCCTGTGAGGCTTTACATACACTACTTCTTTTGCCTAGAATGTTCTCCCCTAACTTTCTTGTTCATTGGTGAAGATTCAATTCTGATCTCATCTGCTTTTTACCTAGATCATCTCCAGTGGATAATCATCTTTTATCTATGTTCCCAGTTTGGATTTCTTTTGTTTTAAAATCATACCATTTTCCAGTATAATCATACTGCACTGCCATTAGCTATTTGCTGGTATCTATATACTATAATTATGGGGCCATCTAGGTAGAAACCATATCTTATGTAGCTTTGCATCCCTGTTCCTAGCTGAGGGTCTTACAAACATACAGTGATATGGTTTGGCTGTGTTCCCACCAAATCTTGTCTTGAATTGTAACTCCACAATTCCCACATGTTATGAGAGGGACCTGCTGGGGGGTAATTGAATCATGGGGGCAGGTCTTTGCCATGCTGTTCTCATGATAGTGAATAAGTCTCATGAGATCTGATGGTTTTAAAAACAGGGTTTCCCTGCATGCACTCCTCTCTTTGCCTGCTGCCATCCATGTAAGACGTGACTTGCTCCTCCTTGCCTTCCACCATGATTGTGAGGCTTCCCCAGCAACGTGGAACTGTAACTCCATCAAGCCTATTTTTCTTCCCAGTCTCAGATATATCTTTATCAATAGCATGAAAATGGACTAATACAGTAAATTGGTATCAGTAGAGTGAGATGCTGCTGAAAAGATATCCAAAAATGTGTTAAGTGACTTTGGAAATGGGTAACAGGCAGAAGTTGGAACAGTTTGGAGGGCTCAGAAGACAGGAAAATATGGGAAAGTTTGGAACATCCTAGAAACTTGAAGAATGGCTTTGACCAAAATGCTGATAATGATATGGACAATGAAATCCAGGCTGAGGTGGTCTCAGATGGAGATGAGGAACTTATTGGGAACTGGAGGAAAAATGGCTCTTGTTATGTTTTAGCAAAGAGACTGGTGGCATTTTGCCCCTAGCCTAAAGATTTGTGGAACTTTGAACTTGTGAGAGATGATTTAGGGTATCTGGTGGAAGAAATTTCTAAGCAGCAAAGCATTCAAGAAGTGACTTGGGTGCTGTTAAAGGCATTTAGTTTTATAAGGTAAGCAGAGCATAAAAGTTTGGAAAATGTGCAGCCTGATAATGTAATAGAAAATAAAATCCCATTTTCTGTAGAGAAATTCAAGCTGGCTGCAAAAATTCGGATAAGTAATGAGGAGCTGAATATTAATCCCCAAAACAATGGGAAAATGTCCCCAGGGCATGTTGGAGGTCTTCACAGCAGCCCCTCCCATCACAGGGCTGGAGGCCTAGAAGGAAAAAAATGGTTTCAGGGGCTGGGCCCAGTCCTTGCTCTGTGCAGCCTAAGGACTTGGTGCCCTGCGTGCCAGCCACTCCAGCCATGGCTAAAAGGGGCCAAGGCACAATTTGCGCCATTGGTTCAGAGGGTGCAAGCCCCAAGGCTTGGCAGCTTCCACATGGTGTTGACCTGCAGGTGCACAGAAGTTGAGAATTGAGGTTTGGAACTTCTGCCTAGATTTCAGAGGCAGAAACGCCTGGATATGCCAGGCAGAAGTTTGCGGCAGGGACAGGGGCCCCATGGAGAATCTCTGCTAGGTAGTGCAGAAGGGAAATGTGGGATCAGAGCCCCCACCCAGAGTCCCTACTGAAGCACTGCTTAGTGGAGCTGTGAGAAAAGGGTCACCGTCCTCCAGACCCCAGAATGGTGGATCCACTGACAGCTTGCACTGTGCACCTGGAAAAGCCATAGACAATGCCAGCCCACGAAAGCAGCCAGGAGAGGGACTATATCCTGCAAAGCCACATGGGTGGAGCTGCCCAAGACCATGGGAATCCAATTCGTGCATCGGCATGACCTGGATGTGAGACATGGAGTCAAAGGAGATCATTTTGGAACTTTAAGATTTGACTGCCCCACTGATTTTGGACTTGCATGGGGCCTGTAGCCCTTTGTTTTGGCCAGTTTCTCCCATTTGCAATGGGTGTATTTATCCAATGTCTGTACCCCCATTTCAGCTAGAAAGTGATTAACTTGCTTTTGATTTTACTGGCTCATAGGTGGAAGGGACTTGCCTTGTCTCAGATGAGGCTTTGGACTTTGGCCTTTTGAGTTAATGCTGAAATGAGTTGAGACTTTGTGGGATGGCTGGGAAGGCATGATTGGTTTTGAAATATGAGGACATGAGATTTGGGAGGGACCAGGAGTGGAATGATATGGATTGGCTGTGTCCTCACTCAAATCTCATCTTGAATTTTAACTCCCACAATTCCTACATGTTGTGGGAGGGACCCAGTGGGAGGTAATTGAATCATGAGGGTGGGTCTCTCCCATGCTGTTCTCGTGATAGTGAATATGTCTCATGAGATCTGGTGCTTTTAAAAATGGGAGTTTTCCCTACACAAATTCTCTCTTTTCCTGTTGCCATCCATGTAAGTTATGACTTGCCCTCCTTGCCTTCTGTCATGATTGTGAGGCTTCCCCAGACACGTGGAACTGTAAGTCCATTAAACCTATTTTTCTTCTCAGCCTCGGGTATGTCTTTATCAGCAGCATGAAAACGGACTGATACAGAAGGCATTCAATAGAGGTTTGTTAATCTGATAATGAAAAATGATTGAATAATTTAGTGTTGTGTCAGTTAGCTTTTGCTGCATAACATGAAATCCTAAAAGTTTGTTGTTTAAGCAACAGTATAATTAGCTCATGATTGGTTGGCTTAGCATTTCTGGTTGGCCTGACTTGGCTGATGTCTTCCTAATTGGCTCACGTCCATGGTCAGCTGATGGGTCGGCTGGAGGTTAGATGATCTAAGACCACCTTACACATCTGGCAGTTGGCAGGCTGTTGGCCAGGGTTATGGGAATGATTACACCATGTGTCTCTCATCATCCATCAGGCTAGCCCAGGCTTATTTGCAGGGAATAACAAGAACAGCAAGAGTGTAAGCCTCTATGTTCAACCCCTTTCCAAGCCACTGCTCATCACATTTATTAATGTCCCATTTTCCAAAGCAGTCACGTGACCAAACCCAGATTCAGGGGGTGGAGAAATAGGCTCTATACCCTTTGATGGAAGGAACAGCAAAGTCACAGTGGAAATGAGTATGTGTATAGGAATAAGAAGAATCATACCTATTTAAGTCTACCATAAATGTTGAGAAAATTTTCACTTAATCTACCTGAATGTTAAAAACTAGAGCCAATTCAAAATCAGAACTATCTTTTGCCTCTTTTTTTCAAACTGTAAAGCTAGTGTTTTAGTCTGGGTTCTCCAGAATGACAGAACTGATAAGAGATATCTATCTATCTATCTATCTATCTATCTATCTATCTATCTATCTATCTATCTATCTGTCTATCTACAGAAATTGACTTACTCAATTGTGGAAGTTGAAAAGTCGCATGATAGGCCATCTGCAAGCGGGAGAGCCAGGAGATCCAGCAGCCTGGAGGACCAGGATGTCCAGTAGCCTGGATCATGTTTGAAGACTTCACAACCAAAGAAGGGAAGATGATGGTGTAACTCTCAGTATAAGGCTTAAGGCCTGAGAGCCTACGGGACTGCTGGTATGAGTCCAGGAGTCCCAAAGCCAGAGAACTGGGAGATCTGATGTCCAAGGGCAGAAGATAAAGGGTGCCCAAGCTCCAGAAGAGAGAGAGAGAGCAAGAATTCCCCCTTCCTCCATGTTTTTGTTTTATCCAAGACCCCAGCTGATCAGATGGTGCCTACTCACATTGATGGCAGATTATCCCTACTCAGTTCAATGACTGAAATGCCAATCTCCACTGGAAACACCCTCATGGACATACATAGGGCAGTCCAATCATTCTAATCAAATGTTAAAACACCTGAGTTTGTTTTCCTTTCAGCAGAAGAGGGATGGGCTTAATGCCTACTGAAGCACTGAAGATATGTAATGCTATACCACCTACCTGGATATCCCTTAATCCAGTCAAGTTGACATCCAAAATCAACCATTACAAGTTCGTCCCTT